CTCTGTAGGTGAAGAGAAATGGAGATGGTGGATGATGTTTATATAGCAATTGTGGTTTGGAGCTAAATCGTGTTTTCTTGGGGTCGGAGCTAGGTTTGGGAGATTCGAGCCAAGCTTGAAAAATATGGTCTTAATTAATATTAAAGTGTAATCTTTCTCTGATTTGCTAAATAAATGTCAGTTTTTACTCAACTTTTTAAATTTCGAAAGATGTTTTAAGAAATTATTTATGAGTTTGGAAACAGACATAAAATCTTATGTTTGGTTTTTTATTAAAATTAAATTGCTATGAGTTGTCTATACTAAATATAAAATTAGGAAAGGTTGGATATGGGGAGGCAAAAAGATAAAGACGAAAACGAGAGAGAGAATGGAACAATATTAAAAAAAGATGGAAAAGAACTATAATACTTTTTCCTCACTTTCCTTTCAAGTTTTACATAGTTATCCATTTTAATAAAATTCGCATTTATTTATTATAATTATCCAACAAATCCAAACAAGAATGTAAACATTATACATTTTTTTCTTACCATTTAAAATTCTACAATAGTCAACGAAGTGTTATAATCGCAATAAAATATTTGAATTTAATGATCAATCTTTCTAAACCCTTTACCCCATGAATGAGTTGGAAATTTGATTTTATCCTATTTTCTTAAACTAGTTCATAAAATGTTTCCAGTTTTAAAAGGCTAGTTATTTCAAATGCTTCCAGTTTTAAAAATTTCTGTTTAATAAGTATGTTATAATATCAATATTTAAAATAAAAATAAAAATCTTTAGAAATTTGAAAATGTTTCAAAAATACATTTCCTTACAATTGCGATCCTATAAAAAAATTATAGTTAATGACACACATAAAACAACGTGTCGGAAGAAAAAACAAAAAAGTAAAAAACACATAACTTTACAATGTAACGTAAAAACAAGCACCAATTACGAAATATTTGACCTCATACCAATTTCTTAAAAGTTAAAGTATTAACCCACAATAAAAACCGTACATTAATTTCTCTCTAGTTTTGCTATTAATAATTTGTATAAAGCAGAGCGATACGGTAACGGCTTTATACGTTAAAGTAATGCATGAAAATCTTGGGGGCTATAATTGATACTTACGACTTACGAGCCGTTGTGGTCGAGAACTAAACGATTAACATCTTAGTGGATATTGCCGGCCAAAAAAACATCTTAATGGGCTATTAAGAGCATCTTTAACGTAGGTGCTCTTACGAAAGTTTCT